TGTAGGCATAATGTTATCAGGCACTGCATAAAAATTGAAATGCTGATTTCTTTGTACACACCTGCCCCCTAATCTAGCTGCAGTCCTTGTTCAGAGAATCTCCTGACTAACCTATGCTCTCCATTTGTTCACTAATATGTCATTAAAGGAGTCTAAGAGCCAACCATTGAGCAAGGGAGAGAAAAGGGTTCAACTTCCTGCCAGCCAAGGAGAAGAGAGGAAGTAGGGATTGAGCCATAGGCATAGGTCCAGGAAACATGAGAAAAGGCAGCTGGAACAGGGAAAGCCGTAGAAAGCAACTATCTAAGGGATTTTGGCAAAAAGGCCAGACTAGGTTAGAGGATTAGAATAGAGTAAAAACTGCTCGGTATTTTATCTTACAGCTTATTAAACAAATATAATAGTCCAGTCTCAATTATTTGGATGCTAGCAGGATTAAGAGAAACTGTAACACAATTTTAAAACTAACAATAACAAGATCATCTGTACTGTGTTTATGCTTTTGAATCGATTGTTTGAAAAAAACATTAGCAACGTGAAGAAATTGATGCTTTATTGTACCCTTTATGTAAAATTAATCTTCATATGTTTCTTGCATTGAAAAAAAAAATCTTTGTAGACCAGGTTATCTTCAGACTCATTTGATCATGGTTGCCATGTTTTTGTGTGGCACCAAAAACCCTTTTTGAGTCTTTCATCACCCAGTTATACACAGTTACGTGGGCATTTCTCGTGACTTCTATACCTTACTTCTATTGATTATTTCATACAACACTTGGTGTGAGAGCTTTATGCCCTGACAATCTTCGGATAAATATAAGCAGTGATGAACTGTCTATTCCGGTGTCCGTATCCAAGCACTACAGTGCCTGGGGACATATATGGAGTAGTGAAATTGCTATTCGTAAGGCACAGCTACCAAGGTAATAAACATTCTTTTACTGCCTGGAAATTACGGTGAACCAGGAGACAGCCTTGAAATCCCCGGCCCTTCCCAGGGCAGACAGCTCCACTGACATCTCTTGGTGTAGGTGCCAAGTGTTATTGATGGGTCACAAGTCTGAAGTCAAAGGGTGTGTGTGTGTGTGTGTGTGTGTGTGTATATATATATATATATATATATATATATATAGTTAAACCATGGTCAACTGTATTGTATGGAAAACCTGAAAGTGACAGTAAGTGAATTATGTTAAGGACAGTGATTAGAAACATCTTTAAAAGCTAGAGCATAATTGTGTAAAGACAAAAATTCCACAGCTCAATATTCACAAGAATCAAGAAAAAGAATGATATACACTATCACTGGGATTAAAGTTGTGCATTCAGGGCTCGGGAAGATGGCTAAATGTATAAAGCACTTGCATGTGCTCCTGAAAACTTCCACTTACATTTCCATAACCCATGTAAAAGCCAAATGTAGCAGCACAAGCATCTGTAATAGTTGTGTTTAGGTAGAATCAGCCAGAAGCTTAAATACAGTGGCAGAAACCAGAGAGACCCTGCCTTAAAAGCAAGGTGGAAGGAGAAAACTGACTCCAGAAAATTGTCTTCCACATGTGTGTGCATATACATAATAAATAGCTTAAAAATTTTACTTATTGAATGTTATTTAATAACTTAACAGTTTCTGTTTGTTGGGTTGTCTGCTGTTCAGGAATAACATATATACTCTTTTTAATTAAATTTCTATTTTTATATTATAGTTTACTTGCTTTATATCCCAGCGGTAGCCCCCTCCCTTTTCTCCCATGCTCCTCTCCAAGTCCACTGATAGGGGAGGTCCTCCTCTCCTTCCATCTGACCCTAGCCTATCAGGTCCCATCAGGACTGGCTGCATTGTCCTCCTCTAAGGCCTGGTCGAAGAGCCCGCACTGAGACAGTCCCTGTTCCCATTACTAGGGAACCCACTTGAAGACTGAGCTGCCACAGGCTACATCTGAACAGGGGTTCTAGGTTATCTCCATGAATGGTCCTTGGTTGGAGTATCAGTCTCAGAAAAGACTCCTGGAACCAGATTTTTTAGTTCTGTTGCTCTCCTTGTGGAGCTCCTGTCCTCTTCAGGTCTTACATATATATTAAGAGTTTTTTTTTTTTTTTTCATCTGATCAACATCTAATTGGACTCGCAGTTTGAATGACAATGACCCTCATAGGCTCATGTTTGAACACCTGGTCCCCAGTTGGTGGAACTGTTTGGGAAGGATCAGTAAGTGTGGCCTTACTGGAGCTGCTGTGTCATTAGAGGTGGGTTTTAGGGTTTCAAAAGATTGCAACTATTCTCTGCCTCCTTGTGGGTCACTATGTGAATTCTCAGCTATTGCTGCTGCTGTGCCTTTGCTTTGTCATTCAGGACTCTTACCATAAGGCAAATTAAACTGTTAATTTTTTATAAATTGCCGTGGTCATGGTGTTTTGTCACAGTAATAGAAAAGTAACTGATACACCTATCATCCTTTATTGAACCCCACTGGTTATCTTTGACAGCTTTTGCCTAGAACGCGTGAAGTTCATTCCTTCTCCCTTACTCTGTGTTACCTTTTAAAAACACATCATGTCTTCTAGCCTTGCTCCCCGACTACAAATTACTGTGCATAATCTTAATCTGAGAGGTTTCATTGAATAAAATCTTACTTACTTTCCTTAATAAATGCTCTATGTAATTCTGTTTTCTGCACGGTCCCTGGGAGAGTGAGACTAGATTGCTGACCCCCGATCCCTGGAGTGTATATGTTCTAGAAAGCCCCGACTAGTACATATGAGGAAAATAAAACAAATGTCTTTCAGTTTTGACTCCTTTTCTTCCAAGCCCATTTGGATATTTTGTTTTCTGTGACTTTTCCTAGAAAGCCTGCACGAAGCTCAGCTTGGGGACTGGTGGGGCTTGGTGGGACTTGTCAAATGGAGTCCCTGAGGGGGCCTCTTGGCTGTATGACAGCAGGACTAAGGGTGGGGCTGCTCGCTAAGGTGAAGGTGATCGTATGGAGTCCAAACCTCGGTTCCCTGAATTCCATGAAGCTGGTTGGGGCAAGATGACAAATTTCAGACCTGTGTGTAGACATTTCTGAAACTTCAGTCTGTGGGTAGAGCCACAGACCTGAAGTAACCTCGGCAGTAGAGACTCTGGGTCCTGCAGTGACTGTTGGGACCTGAGGCGTCAGAACCCCATGCCCACATTGACCTTAGCGGCTGCCGGAGCCCAAATCGGAGAGTGAAGGTGGGTATACTGGAAAAAAGCCTGGGCTCTGCCTTGACTGTTGGGTGTGTGGTCTGATGCCGTCTGTGTTCTAACGTTCTCTTTGGCTCCCTGAGGTCTGCGAGCTGTCTTATAACACACATGTACCTCAAGATGATGTTTGTAACCTTGCGTAAGAAATTATTTCTGATTGGCTGAATAATTCTACACTTGAACAGGGCAGAAGGAAGGTTCGTGGGCTTTGGGGGCAGAATTATCACAGGAGCGAGAGGTACCAGGGGAAGAAGTGCAGAGTTGCCTTGGGATAACAAGAACTGTGTGGGCTGGGAGGAGAAACTCTGAAGCTCCTCATGGAGCGAAGTGGCCCAGGTGAAGAGCGTAGGCGAGTATTTATGGAATCATGGAGGGGAGTAGCCCAGATAAGAATGATCAAGGCAGGGAGCATCGGATGGGGGTTGGGAAGCAATTAGGTAGTTTAGGGGCTAATATCTGCCCAGTCCCAGGGAAAACACGGCTATTCTAAGCTGTCTGTATCTTTACTGATTTAACCCCGGGTTAGATGATACTGCTGTAATAGTTACAGGTTTTAACAATAAACATGATTAGCCCAACATTTATATTTTCTGCAACACTTGATCTTTGACCATCTGGTGCTGGAGGCCTGATTTCAGGGTGCTCAGGGTTTTATAGGAGCCAAAGACCCAATGTCCAGTCCACTCTTGTCCCACAGAAGCTAGAGGACCAAGTTATAGGGTAGGTACTCTTTAGTACAAGAGTCTAGAAGCAGTGTGGGCGGTTTGTTCCAGCATGTGTCAATGTGTTCCTCTAGCTTCCTGAGAATCGGTACTGATGCCAGGCTGGTGCTTCTGCGAAATTGTGAATTGCTACCTCTTGTCCTAACACCCGGGTCCGATCACCATTACATTGTACTGAATCAAAATGAAGTGTCAAGAACTTGTTTTCTGAATGTTTTATTACAACCTTCATGGAAAATCAGTTGACATAATTTTTTTTTTTTAAGTTTTCCTTTGCTCTGACGAAATACCCACAGGAAATATCCTATAGTAGAGAAGGGTTTAGACTGACCTGTGGCTGTCAATGTTTTACTTTGATACTTTGGTGGGGAAGAATGTCTTAGCAGGAACACATAGAGCCACCCACCTTACTAGAGCAGGAAGAGAAACTGACAAACCAATATCCCTTTAGGGCATTTCCCCATGGCCTCATTTGCTTCACTGGGATCTGTGTAATTATAATCACAGACTGGTGTCAAAAATTTTAACATCGAGTCTTTGACATGGATCCAAAACTTAATACCAAGTACTCAGGCTTCTATATTTAGATTTTCCAACCTTTGCTTATATTTAAAGTTTCAGATTTTTGTAAACTTTATACTTGAGTTGTCCTGGTTAGAACAATAGAAAACTATTGCTGTGCTGAACATCGGGACCAGCAGCAGCTTGAGGAGGAAAAGGCTTCGCCTCACAGAATGCAGTCCATTATCCAGGGAAGTCAACACAGGAAATCAAGGCAGGAGTCTGGAGTTAGGAACTGAAGTTGAAGCCACAGAGAAATGCTTCTGACTGGCTTGCTCCCTATGACTTGCTCAGTCTGCTTTCTTGTGCCACCCAGGACCCCTTGCCCAGGGGTGGTGCTGGCCAGTGAGCTGGACCCTCCAACATCAATCATTATTCATGAAAATGCCCCACAGTGTTGTCCAAATGCCAACCTGATGTAAGAGTTTTCTCAGCCACTGCTCCCCCTCCCAGGTAACTAGTT